TTATTATTATTATTATTATTATTATTATTATTATTATTATTATTATTATTATTATTATTATTATTATTATTATTATTATTATTATTATTATTATTATTATTATTATTATTATTATTATTATTATTATTATTATTATTATTATTATTATGATTATTATTATCATTATTATTATTATTATTATTATTATTATTATTATTTGTTATTATCATTGTTTTCATTGTTATAGCAACTATTTTTATAGTGATTCTCAAACCTTGTACGATTTGGCAAGAAGGATCACGAAAACGATTGTTGTGACACTTTTTAGAATATTTTCCGTTTTATTTCTTGTCATAACTTCTTCTATCCTTTCATATATGCTAACCGCAATTATGCAAAATGCAACCGATGGTAGGTAAAGTACTCTTTCGGCAATCACAAACCCAACGGTAACAAAAATGTTACTTGCTGGTAAGAATGTTATAACATAAAAATGACCGAAAATGATCGAAGCCTATAAAATGAATTCAAAAGTTAAAACATTTAATCAATTTCGCTATCATTCGAGTTGTAGAATTGAATTATTATTTCATGGTTCTTGCAGAAATTAGTATCAATGCCATTATGTATTGTCTTATGCTATTTCAAATGATAAATTTAATTTTCAAATTTCAATGCATTAAAATACATTCATTCCAGAAAAAGAAAAAATAATTTGGAAAAAATTTCTTTTGTAATTTGTCTAATAGTGTGGGAAATTTAACCACTTCAAAGTTTAAAATGTAAGATAAAGTAATAATCTAAAATTTCACACCTGATGTATATATACATATATATATACATTTTTTTTGTTGGGTGGATCACTTCAGATTACAACTAGTATTTAATTGGGCCAAGTATTTAATAGTGTTTAATTGGATCAAGGGATTTAGACCTGTATTGATTGTTAAAACATCCTTGAATTAACTGAATGATAAATATGATAGCACCAATGATAAAAATAGTTGATATCAGAAAACGAAGATCATTGACTGATTCGATTAGTGCCACACAACCCATCGAATAGTCAAAACATAAATGGATCGGATAAAGTTGTAACCAAATATAAAGCATATAAATATAGCAATAATTAATTAACTGAAATAAAATTGAACCGTTTTTCACCATTAGTATAAAGCTGCCAAATAAATAAATGGATAAACAAGTAAATAAATGAACTTATGAAGGAGAAGTACTTCTCTTGCAATAAATAAAAGCTTTTCACTTATTCAGTTATTAAAATTTTTTCATATCCAGAAATTGTATATAATTTAAATTTGCTGAAGACAAATTGTTGCATCACAATTTTGATCCATACACCAATTTTTTCATTTTTCAATTTATTTTCCTCCGAAAAGATCCTGTGACCAAGAAAAATGTTTTAGTCATGAATGAATCGCTCACAGAACTTGAAATAATCGAATAATTGATAACTAACTAACTCGTAAAAAGAGAGATGGACAACCAGCGATTAAATTATCACTTGAACTAAATTGAGGAGATTGAAATCCGTTGATCGAAAATCGAAACATTAATAAAGCTATGCATATCACTGAACATATCATTACCCGATGTATGCACTCACAATATCGTTGCTATAATAGAAAGTTAAAAAATTGAAAAAGAAAGGAATTGGTAAATTTCGGATTTTTGATAAGAAGTTTTTAATTAAAGTCCTTGTTTGAATTAAATTTTCTAATCTAGTTGGGTATATGTTTGGAGGCGCGTTGAATTTTCAACTGACATGGAAGCGAATAGTTGTGAATTTTATATTCTAAACGTTTTTTTTCAAGAAAAAAGTTGAAATTTGTTTTTTGAAATACAAGCAAAAAAGAAAAAGAAACTCCCAAATTATGTTTACTTTTTTACTGTTTAAAAAAGACAAAGAAACTTGCTTCTTTCTTTGCTCATATCTGTTAAATTCGGAATTTTAAAAATTTCGACAAATAAAAAATTTAAATGTCACATGAATAATTTTTTTAAATCTTGTATTTGCACGAAATTTTGCTTATGCAAATTTCATTTCTCCTAACAAAATGGCGAAAAAATTCCAGGTTAATAATTGGGGAACAAACATTCACCGCCGAAAATTGGACGAACTCTTACTCGTATACTGAAATAATTGGCTTACTTGCTACGCAATAATATTATCTTTCATTAGAATCTCATCCTAATACTACTTTAGACTGATTAAATATATAGGTTTTAAAAAGTGAAATAATCACTTCAAAAATTTTAGCAAATTTGCCAAATGTTACAAATGGCAAGGTCAGAAGTCAAGTCATCTGGTTGCAATATGAATTAGTGCTATCAAATTGATGCAAAATCATACAGTCATATATACTGTACTCCTATCGATCTTATTGTTGCTGCCATAATCATCCATTCTTTTTCTGAATACAATAAAAAACCGAATTGGTGAAATATTTGATGCGAAAATATCAAATGTTGCACAAAGTGGCTGTAAAAAGTGATTTTAAAAAACATTGAGAAATTAAATTTTCGGTAATATCAAATAAATTCTTAATTAGCTGACAGATAATAATAATTGTAAAAAATGAATTATTACTAATTAAAAGCATAATATAAATGAAAGTATAAAATAGAAAGCAAACCATTGCAACAATCCCCTGTTCCTTACTGAAAAGTGCAATTGCGCTTAAAAATAGAATTGTGATTTTTGATTTAATGGAAAATTGTGATTTATACCAACATTTAATATATAAATGTAATGCAATCAGTGTAAATAATGTCATCAATAACTCAGCACGGCCAACTATACTTGCTACCTGCAAGAAGTTTTATCTTTCCTTTGAATAAATTCATTGATTTTAATTTTATCTTGCAGAAATCGTGATTACATTTCTATCTCCATTTACTTCTACCCTTCATTATTTCTCTAATTCATAGATGTGAATTAAAAATTGCATCCAATGTTAACAACAATAAAACAATGGGAGGGGATGGAAGTAGAAAACTTTATCACTTGATAACTTACTGCTTCAGAATGTATTGGATGTACAGCAAACAATAACGAGACACGAAAAGCTATCCTACTAGGATATTTTCCATAAAATATGATTGATAAGTTAATTATTATCTTATAAAGTACTGCACAAATAATTGCATGTAATATGATATTAACAATATGATAAGTTGTAGTGTGAAGACCTGATACAGCATAATTGATCCTGTAAAATAATTAGTGATTACAACAATACCATATAGTTAATGAATGTAATATAAATAGCTAATATACAAACAATTCATGATGACGTCACATTTTGGAATAATACAAAAATTTATTTGTTAGAAGTTGCTGTTTAATTTTAAATCTGATAATTAACAATTATGCCATTATGAATTTCATTTGTATACTGTTATAGTTCTAAGATTAAAAGTTTCAAATACTGATACAGTTCAATGGTAGTGTGCTTGTTTTTGATTATTAATTCTTCGATAAAAGAAAGTTCACAGAAAGTTAACACATACACAAACACAGACACACAGAAATATTAAAGAATATTTCTTGTGACACAGTTATCTTTTTATTTTTAATTTAATATTTTTTAATTTCATTTTTTTGAATTTCGTTTTTAATTCGATTTAATTATTTCTGATTTAAAATTAATCTAACATGATTAGTTTTTTTGAAATTTAAAAATTTTGGTGGATAAACTTAAGTGACATGCAAAACAGACAGCTTGAAATGATGGAAAATGCAATAATGTCTTTAATGAAAAATTATAGATTAACAATAAAATTGTGCGATCTCTCCTAAACAAATAAAAAAAAGAAATTCTTATGGTAAGATTACGGTAACTATCACTCGTAATCCTTTCTAATTAAAATAAATAACTTGACACTCTTCCAAATTATCGATTATCAGTTTAAAAATACTCACCGAATCAGTTTTTTTTTCTCTCTCTCTTTACCATGGAATTTTATATCAAAATTAACCATAATTTATGCATCCTTACTAAGGGAATTAATGAAAGAATGATAACATCAAATAATAATAGTACAAGGGAGAGAGGGAGAGAGGGAGAGAGAGAGAAAGTAAGAGAGGAAAAAAGATGGAAATTTTCAATGTGAAAAAGAAATTTTTATTTAAATACCAAAATAATCAATTTTATATCCATAACTGATGGCATATTGTATTATCATCCATCATTGAAGTACTTCAGGCCCATTTCCTTCTTCCACAACATTAATTTGCATATATTGCACCTCTAATAATGGATAATAGGCTAGTTATTGGCTGTAAAATTGTATTTCACTTTACAGGCATAATAAATTTGGCCCAAATAACATGCAAATTCATTCGGTGACCCTTAGATTTTACCGGATATTTATAATTGCATCAATCATATTCACACGGTATACACATACACACACCACACGTAATCTTTGTGAATAAGTTGTCTTGTAAACAAATTGTTTACAGATCCATTTACAAACTGATCCGATTTGATCGGTCAACGGAAGGAGTGATGCGTATAAGCGGTACAACAAAGGCTCTGTCAGATTAGCATTAATTTTATAAATATTAAAAGTTCAATTTGTAGAAAGCTTCTTTCGGGAGAGAGAGGGAGAGGGATAAAGAGAATCTAATGAATTGATCTATCAATGGTGCATTTTTTTCTGGTCGAAAAGCCAAGTTTGGATGGATGCTATGAACGTTTGATCATTGAGATTTTGAAGCTTTCAACAAAAAATCAGACTAAAAGCCTAAAAATCGATCCATAACTCTTTTAGTGGATAATGCTGCATTGAAGTGGATACTTTAAGGCTATTCACCTCTTCTAGTGGACATTTGGCTCATCCAATATTCAAGTATCCTGAGACATCTGGTCACTTCACAATATTATTCAATATATTCATAGCGAATGATTATTATTCTAAGCATAATTTATCAAATAACTAATTCCAACATAAATTCTAATTATTCATATATTTGAGTTTTCTAGTGCAAATTCTTGCAAAATTTCCCCTCCCTCTTTTGTTCTTTTAAATCTAAATCAATTTTCAACAAAATGATCAACCTATCAGTAAATTGTAGAAATATATAAAAATGAATTGATTTCCTTCCCTTTCTAGCTTAACAAATAAAAAATTGAGAAAAAAAAGAAAGTTTTTTGACTTTGGTTTAGAAAATAGTGATTAATTCCATTTAAATTAATTCCTAAAATTGCGAAAAACATTGGATAATTCTGAGAAAAAAAAACAGTAATTGTTTTCAAAAAAAAGGAAAGAAACGAAAAAAAAACATTAACATTCAGAAATTTATTATAGTGTTTGTTTAATTTAAATTTTTCAGTTTGAAAAAAAAAAACAAAGAAATTTGTAATTAAAAAAGATGAAAGTTTTCACATTATGCAACATTAAATGAAAGGAAGGAAACATTCTGCTGTCTAAATTAAATATATTAATTGAAATTGGTAATTAATGGATCATTTCAACTATCCGTAACAAGTAAGAAACATGACAGTGCGTGTATCTTTCGTAAGTACCACAAATGCATTTCAACTAAACTGATGTCATTGCATATAATGAGCAGTAAGAAAGAATGAATCAAAACTTACGCGAAAGTAATGGTAGTAACAGGGCGATACGATTTGTGACTATTTGATGATCGTATCGGATAACCCCAAAAATCACTTGCCAGTATTTTTCCAATTTCACGAATAGCCCTATTGTTAATGATAGCTTCCCGATCATCAAATACGAAATTACCATGAATATTACCACTGAAGCTTAAAATTGCTGCCATAGAAATAATTGTCAAATGGAAGCATACAATCAATTCGTCACGTTTTTGTGTGACAGACGATTGTTGACCGGAAGGTACAAATTTTTGCTGTAATTTCCGTGCATTCTTTTTCCATTTCATGCTAATTTCCTTCTAAAAAAAGAAATATATAATTGAAATGTGCATAGAAGAACTTAGAAACATTGTTATCTCCTCATAACATGTACTCAGTATGCATCTAAAAAATATTTTAAATATTTTAAGGATTTTAAATCTCTTAGGGAGGGAAAGCTTTGAAAGCTTCTTTAACTATAATAGCGTATAAATTTAGGTTTTAGAATGCATGAATTGAATCGAATGGAGCTTAAGTAAAGCGTAGGCATATTAGTAGCACTCATATGTCCAGCCTTTTCCCATCTTTTTCAAAACCAGCCCCAAATAATCAAAATTGCTGTTGGCCACTTATAAATGATGGACAAATATTGAGTGGGCACCATTGTACTCAAGCCGAAATTGGCTTGCTTGAAGTGGTACTAGAAATGATTACAATTTTGAACTTAAATAGAAATGGTTTTAAAATTGGAAATTCTCAAGCATTTCAATATTTTTTTTTCATCTTTAATTGGATTTAGTGGGAAACAAACCATCCGAAAATCGATTAGTCAAGGATTTTTAAAAATTTAAATTTGTTAAAATGAACTTATTTAATTATCGATTAATTCTCTTCAATATTTCGATAATCAATCAAAATCAAAACCAAATAGCTTACCGAAAAGCTAAAAATTTTGCACAAGAAAAGAAAAAAATTGTCGAACATTCTTAGAAAGCAGGAATATATTAGACATGTATGTGTGCATGTGTATTTACTGAGGTAAAGGAAAGGTTTCGGGAGGGGGAGGTGACACGGACGAAACTTTTGGAGGACATATTCCGATCGTTGACAACAGCAGCAAAATCCATTGACGAAAACTGCATACCATAACAATAGGTATCGGTCATTTTCTCGAACAAATGCTATTGTGATAAGTCAATTCACCTCATTTGACACTGTTGTCAGCCAATTTATTTCTTTATTCCCGTGAGAAATGAATCAAATTTTTGTGGTCATTGCGTCCATAAAAGATTTCATATATACAATGGAAATACTAATCTTTCTTTTATTCTCTCATATTTTAATTTGAAATTTTATGTGATTTCTTTCGAAAAAATAAAAAAGGATTGAATCAAATTTTGCTCACATACATTGAAATAATTATTATGACAGTTCTTGAATGAACAGCAATTTCTGGATGAATTGATTCGAACTTACTAAGTTCGATCGTTAACCAAAAGTTAGAGTGGAAAGATCGGCGGTTGAAAAGACGAAAATTAAAATTAACACGCTGTTTCAATTTGATTTTGCATTTAACACAACATTGTAATCAGTTTTTTTTTAAATATAAAATATAGAAGAAAAAAATTTTTATTCGGCGACTGTCAAATCCAATTTTTGTCATTTTATCCAGCTGTTTATATTTTCTTAACGATCGGATAGCTGTCGGATTTAGCCAATAAATTGATTCTTTTTTTTTCTTTTTCAATAAACATTTATTTACAAAGGAGCATGCAGTGAAGGAGAAAAACAAACAAATAAAATAAACTTTTCTGTTATGAAACAGAAATGGAACTTTAATTCCTTATTCAATTGTTTTTAATTCCTCCTCCAATTTAAATTCCGCCTTAATGCTTTGAAACATACACACATATTCATTTATTTTAAGAGAAATTATGAATTTAATTTCAAAAAAAGGATGAAATTCAAGATTAGAAAATGTGAAAGCCTTCATGACGCCATTGAAATTACATAATAAACAAAGTGGACATATACAAGCAGAACTAAACAAGAAACAAACAGATATAGACAGATCTAACACATATATATGCATATCATTTATGGTAGGTGAAAATCCGTAAATTAAAAACTGGCAAATATTCGCTCAATCCCAAAATTACAGATAATGGATGTAAGGTAATTAATGAGAAATGAGTCAGCAAAATGTTATATTCATTATTAAAATTTGTATATTCTAAGCCAAAGATAAGCTTCCACTTAAAAGCAATTTAAAGAAATGCCTTCCGGTGAAAATGAACGACCCTTCGCAATGCATTTCATAAATTTTATTTCGAACTTATTAACCATTTGAAATTCAATGACTGAGACAGTTCATTTTTTGTTCTGTTTTACAAAAATTTTGAATGATTCGCATTTTGGAGTAATGTTTTTTTTTTTATCCAAATTTTTCGTTCCGTTTAATTTACTTCCAAATTTCAATTCGTTTTTAGTTTACATCGAAAGGTATAATGATTAACTTAAGAAAAAGTAGAACATTTTACATATAAATCAATATGTTACATAAAAATGAATTTATGATCTTTAATTTTGCTTGTAAATGAATCATCGACAATGATTCATACGTGGTTAGTTTAAACAAGAAAATAAGATTATTTTATCCAAGAATGTTTTCCGATGAAAGTGAACGGTACTTCATTAGATTTACCGTACTGTATTTTACGCTTTTTTAAGTGTAATGTTATGCTCCTTAATATAGACGAAAATTTGATAAATGAAAATTGATAAACTGATAAAAAATTGATAAAAATTGGTAAAATAAAATTAATAAATTGATAAAAAAACGACGAAAATTGATAAATGCATAGAAAGTTGGTAGAATAACAATGGATTCAAAGGTCAAATGCAATGTTACTCTTTTCCTTGCAAGCTATTTTTTATTCTTTGCTTCATTTGTTGCAAAAAAAAGAAGCTAACAGAAATGAAACAATACTCAAAGTTTCATTTCATTTTACAAATTCATATAATCACCTCATTCTCTCTCAAATGATATCATTACATAATTTATACACAAAGTGCTTTGCGTTTTCCTAAATGCTTCCAGATATCTCATTATATTTCTAGAGATCTTCTCATCTTAGATAGAGTTATATCAGAAGTTTAACATTGCAAGCTTCAAGTTAGAAGAATACCATTAAGTGACTAATTAACTTTGGCACTTTCTTCTATGCTAAATTACTTCTTAAGACTCGTTCAACTCTTTTCACTTAGTCTTTCGCAAGAAATGCCATTCATTATTACGCATTTCTTCTCCTCGCAATTTACAGCAAACCAATATTTCTTTTCAAGTTTATCAAATATGAAAGAATGCCTGTGACCTTAACAAGTCTAAACTTCATCAAGTTAGCTTGATATGATATAATTCATGTTTCACAAATGTGCTCGGTGACCTTCATGTGTGCTATAACTAGAACTAATTAAACATTCATATGCAACAGCTGTGTGCTTTTCATTTAATTTAATTAGTCGAATTGTTGGCAGTTCAATCTACATTTCAGAAATTTTGTGTCCTCACTTTGATTATGCAAAATTGACATCCTCTCACTTGTTTTATTAAATGAAATTTGGTTTAAAAAATTAAAGTTCTTTTTCTATTTCTAATAATTAACTAATTAAAGCAGTGTCAAGAAATATGTCTCCAAAAATGTAACGTCAATAGCAAATTTAAGAAAACAATCAGTATCTTTTGGACATATGAATCTCTTTGATGTAAACTTAGGAATGTCGCAGTATAATAAACGGAAATTACCAGAAACTACCGATGACAAATATAATACCTACCAACTTGTGAGAAGAAAAGAAAAAAACAAATGACTGATTTTTGATAAACGGATAATAATAATACTCAAATTTTTTTAAGTTACACAAAAAAAAAGATTCATTGTCTTTGAATTACCCAAATGGTATTATGGTGTTGACATACTTAACTTAGTCTATATTGACCAGATCACAAGTATTCATTCGGATGTTTCATAAAGTAGCATATTTAAGCATCATATCTAGCCGGCTCTTTTAATCGTTGGTCTTAACATTTCATCTATTATCAATGAAATATGTGAAATTTTCCCAAATCTTATTTACAAATGCTATCCGTTATTTCAAATATATTATCCTTTATCCGTCATTTATGATACATTATTCATTATCCGGCCACTAATTGAAATATACTACTCACTTTTGAGACACACTACCCATTACGTGAGATACATTACCCATGTATTGCTCAAAGTTTTTGAAGTAGCAAAATTCTCTAACATTTTCGCAAACTTTAATTAAAAAAAATGCAACACCTTATGAAGTAAAAGCTGATATGGCAATCATAGAGAAAGAATAACACAGGTAGCATAAAGGTGAGGAATAATAATCTGTAATAAACGGGCAAAGATGCACAATTCTGTGTAGCTTGGAATAAGAATGATTTTTAATTGCATCCGGAAAGTTTTTTCTCTTTAGTTCAAATATCTGCAATTGCATTGCTAATTAGCGCCTTTTTCGTGCCTAAATCATTAACTTCCCCCATTGTAACCATAAAAAAGAAGAGGTGAATGACTAATTGGCTAATTTTACTTTTAATTTTATCTTTAGCTTCGATGTTTGGTAATAATTTCTCTACACTTCCTTTATCCTAATGCTTTTCTTCAATTTAAAATACAACAGCACTGATTGTTGATTACCACTAACTGAACGCTTCTTTTTTCTGTTTTCTTTCGATTTCGAAAAAATTTTCAAATTTATCTAAAAATGAAACGCGTGGATTAATTAGTTGTGTGGGCGGGAAAAACATTATCAGAGATGTTTAATTTCTCAAATATTTTCCTTAAAACTTCAATGATTGATTAAAATTTACATAAAAAACTATAATTTGTCAAAAGAAACAAGCTCGTATGATCTATTTTTGGCCTTTCTCATTTGTCTTTTACTTCTTTTTTTAGAATTGAATTTTCTTTGGAAACTATTCGGAATATCAAGAAAAGGGGAAAATTACCCGATGCAATGAAATTTGAACTAATGAGAATTAGCAATTAAATTCTAGGATGAGTGACCAGTGTCCACAAGTGATGTAAATGGAAGATTAATTATCATTTTAATTGACGTCTAGGGAATTCAATACTTTGCAATTTTACTTCTGCATTTCATGACAAATTCTGGTTTCCAGCCTATAAGATTATATATTATTTACTAGTAAAGTGTGAAGGAAATAATTCAATTCAGAAAAATTAATTCAATTTAATTTCACTAATTGAGTTGATGA